TTTTCAGCTATATTTGTGGGTCATAATGATAAAGGAGGAATTACTAGGCAAAAAAACTAATTTACATGCCCTTTTCAAGGAAAAAGTATATTTCCTTTCTCATATGTGAATATGCCTTGAGTTATTATTATTTTTTTAATAAGTGATTCTTCTTTAATTGTAATTTCCAAAGATTTTTACCACTGTGTATATTTATTCAAATGTTTAAGCAATCATCAAATGTAGGCTTACTATTTTAAATATGAATCTAATTATATATCTCCTCTGTTTCCCATTGTAATTAGAATAAATATCTGCAACCTAAAAGACCTTGCCTGAAATGGCCTGTCCGTACCTTTCCCACATTCTTCTTACTCTCCCCTTCTCAGTCATCCCTTGTCAAATACACTGGCCTTTCCAGTCTCAAACACCACGTGCTTGTTCTCATCTCAAGCCTTTCGCCATTGCAGGCTACTTCGAGATTATTGCATTGTTACCTCCTTCCAGGTATTCATTTTTTGTTTCAAATACCATGTCTTCCTGATGGCTGGGACAGGAAATAAACATCATGTGACCTTCCATACTCTCCAACTCTTCATTATTCACCTATTCTTTTTGACCCAAGTGCTAAGGAACAAAATATAGTTGTAGCAAGATTCCTGGGACTACTATCTTCTCATTTAAGGGTAAAACAGGGTATTTTACAACATAAAAAGGTGCAAAACAATGGATTAACTTAAGTTTTGATTGAGAGGAATTACTTAAAAATAATATGTAGTCAATATATACGAAATTTTAATGACACTGAAAAAGAACCGTTATACAGTAAATAAAATATAAAACACAACAGGATGTTTCTAGTTCCCATATAGAGAGAAAAACCTATCTATCCATCTATCTGTCATTTATCTATCCTCTATCTACAATATGATTAAAAGAAAAGATATTTAAAAATTAATTCTGGTTACCTCTGGATGAAAGAGTGATAGAGGTCCATACTTTTACTGTTTTACTGAATTTCTATTGTCATGAGCATGAGATACATTTCATCTAAAAATTTTAGACTCTCACAATATACTTCAACTCAAAATAGTTTGTATTAACATATCTGCCAATCTATCAAACAAATTTGTCAGTGTACATATGTATATATATGCATATATCTTTACTTAAATACTTTATTTTTTCTTCCAGAATTTATTCAGATGTATGAGGTTTAGTTGTTGTACACAATTACACAATTAATGTTTGGGGGTTTTCCTCACTTATGTTCTAAAGATCTTTAACTATCACTAATGTGTTTTATGTGGATAAATATTACTTGACATTAACCTTATTTACTTCATATTCTCTCAATGGATTCTCAGGAGTGATATTGTAGGTCAAAGATTATGTAAATTTATGGTCATTAATAAACAAATCTCCATTGAACATTTCTCTTTATCAAATGACTGTGTGCCCTCTTCTGATTTCAATTTCTACCCAGCTTTGATTTGTCATCATGCTGATTGGCATTTTCACAATGTCTTCTTTAACAAATTGTTTGAGTGAGAACTCTCTCTTGCCTGGAAAATTCTACAAGTGTTACTTCTTATTTGAGAGGTAGTATATGGTGCCCCTGCTTTGTCTTTAAAGTCCTGTTTTGTGTAGACTACTAATTATATTTTTATTGAAGTGCATAGAATTTCTTTGTAAAATACATTCTGAAATAATATTTCAGTAGTCTTAAATTTATCTTCCATTTTGCTACCACCTTCAATTTAGCATCATTTGTAAATTGAAACTAAAATTTATTATTTTACATTGCTTATTAATGACTATTCAAAATCCCTTTCTTTTGTTTTTCTACTTTGTATTTTTCTTTGCTTTCTTTTTATATATAAATAATTGAGCTTGGAGAGCTCTGTACTTAATTGTTGCTTGCTTTGGGTGCATCTTTTCAATTTTTTTTTCTTGCTAGAACTATTAGAAGCTATCATAATTTAACTGATGCATTCACTCGATGTTTAATGAATCCACATGCGCCATTCACCGTGCTAGTTATGAACGCACTTTAGTCTACATTCACTACTTGTTTCCACTTCAGAATTTTGTATATTGACCTGAACCTCAAGATTTCCTTTGAATTTCCTCTTTACCTTCTTCCAGAATACTAAGTTTTATCTCTCGCTTCATTAGCAAATAATTATCTGATTCTATGCCAATTTTTTTGTTTTCTTTTAAGTATACATAAACCATAATCAATATACCTGACAGCATCAACACTCAGAGTGAAAGTATTGTTTTTCTATCTCAAGGAATCATTTGAGTCTAACAGATGGGATGCCTTATCTAATATTCAGTGGCAATGAGGAATAACAAATTTTAATTCAAAATATAGTGGGAAATATATATTAGGAAATATATATCTAGGAATATATATTAGAAATATATATCTAGGAAATAAAATGAGAAATTTCAGAAAATGAGTTACCCTGCCTCCTAAAAAATTTGTACAACTCAAACTCAATTCCAAGGAGAATAAGTAAATTTTAAGAAGAGGACTATATCAATATCTTACTAATTATATTCTTTGAGACAATAGTTCCAGTACATGTTAAAGGTGTTATAGATAATAGATTTCATGAACATATAGGTTTGTAAATCATTGTGTAAACTATGTATGTTTCAATATTTTGGGATTTGACAGTATATTTCATATTCTAATGAAGTTTTTAATCTCAGAGTTATAGACATAGAATTTCTCAAATTTGTCTGGGACCATCTCCTAGGACAAGTTTTCTGATTAACCACTGTTTATCATTTGTGTAGCTATATTAGCTTAGACAATTGTTCATATGTTTTAGGATCAAAAATTTTTAAACAATTACATTTTATTTCAGAAAAGAAAATAAGCAAAGGATCTTTTTTGCCTTAAATATTTTAAGAAATAGGCCAGTCACAGTGGCTTATGCCTATAATCCCAGTGCTTTGGGAGCCCAAGGCAGGAGGAACACTTGAGGCCAGGAGTTAAAGATCAGCCTGGGCAACATAGTGAGACTCTATCTCTAAAATAAAAATTAACTAAAAAATCTTAAGAAATAGATCTTATATATTTAATTCAGCACTGTATATTGTATTGATGATAAGAATTACATAATATAAGCAACGATTAGAAGTTACTTTTATTATAAAACCTGAACTCACTCACACATAGTAAATACTGAAATATCACTGCCCAAAAGATAACCATTTTGATTCCCAATCACTTTTAAATATTATTGAGTAAACTAATTATTACTAGTGTTTGTTAGCATGGCAGTTTACACAATACTATCGAAATTTTGTTGTAAACATCTCTGACCTATATCTATTTATAATAAGAATTTGCTAGTATTAAATTCAAAACAAATTTCATGGGGTCAAACATTGCTAACAATTATATTATTGTATAGCCAAAAGAAATAAATCTAATATCGAAAAGAAAATGAAGTCTATTTCTGAAAATTTGAGTTAATTTCCCTTTTTCTTCATTATAATTTCTCTATTTTTTTCTTTTTAGTATTTTTTTTTTTTGCTGTTATGGATAGACATCACAGTACAAATGGTACACTTATATTGCAATATATTAATTACACAGAATGTAAAAGATGTCAGCAATCTGAACTGGCTAATTTGAAGTTAAGGTACTAATGAATCTTAGCAGTTCTCTACCCTTAATGAAATTAAATATAAGCTTTCTTCCATAAATTAATGGTTTGAATTTTTATTGGCTGATTATGACCCTGATAAAGATGATTGGAGTATTTTTTTCTGTAAACTGCTCATTTGGGATTTGAAAATACTGACTCTCAAAGAAGTTGGTGACACAGCTCAGACTGGACTACATCTTTTTTCTCTCAATCCAGTTTTGTCCCCCCACCACAACATTTCATTACAGAAGTTGCATAAAATCTTTATTTTTACATTTCCTGTGCCTCTCTAAGATTTTTTTCCCTCTCATTTCAGCTTGAGATTGTTTACTGCCTTTGATTTTAGGAAATTTCTCTCTGTTTCTTTATATCATCTAGAACATCCTAACTAATCTCTGATAGTTCCCTTATTCTCCCGAGTACTAAATATTGATCTTTCTGAAAATTCTGTCCTCAGTCCATTGTTTTCCTTTTGTTACATGCTATTCAGTGGTTGTTCCATTTATAACATAAGTCTAACCAGCATACTGGGTCAGAGATCGGCTTTGAACCAGAAATAGCTGGGTTTGATTATTTCACTTCACTACTTCTAGCTATGGGACTGGGCAAAATGCTTGATGACATCTTACCTGATCCTCTTCTTCCTTGCATATGAAAGAAAGAAAGAAAGAAAGAAAGAAAGAAAGAAAGAAAGAAAGAAAGAAAGAAAGAAAGAAAGAAAGAAAGAAAGAAAAGAAAGAAAGAAAGGAAAGAAAGAAAGAAAGAAAGAAAGAAAGAAGGAAGGAAGGAAGGAAGGAAGGAAGGAAGGAAGGAAGGAAGGAAGGAAGGAAAGAAAGAAAGAAAGAAAGAAAGAAAGAAAGAAAGAAAGAAAGAAAGAAAGAAAGAAAGAAAGAAAAAGAAAGAAAGAAG